CAGGCATCTCCTCCCTAGGGTGGTGGAATTTCAAGACCAGGGGGCATATTTTTAAGGTGAGAGGAGAATGATTTTAAAAAAGACATGAGGGACATCTTTTTTGCACAGCGAGTGGTTCATGTGTGGAATGAACTTCCAAACCAAGTGGAGGGATATGGGCCAAACGCAGGCAGGTGGGACTAGTTTAGTTTGGGATTACAGCCGTGATGGACTGGTTGGACTGAAGAGTCTGTTTCCGTGCCGAATGACACCGTGACTCTATGTTCATTAACAATATCGGTAACTATCCAACTGATTATCCCACTTATCATCCCATTCACCAATCCTCTGACCAGTCCAGTAACTATCCCACTCAATATCTCATCTCTAAATGACAGAATATTATCTAACAAAGACTTTTCCATCCATTCTTTTCTTTCATTTTGAGACTTACATCCTGGTTCCACGGGAATTGGCCACTCTCCTTGGAGAGTAACCAAGCTATTATATAGTTACCTAAGTTTGAATGAGTGCCAAAAGGCTATTTTATCCTGGAGGGCATCAGTTCTCAAGCTAACCCTGTCCTAATTTGTTTTCTGGGTGTGTACTTCCACAGAGGCTTGCACAGCCTTCAGAGTGGGAAGCTTGTTTGCTCTGCCAGTTCCAGGAATGAAGTTTCAATGTGAAACTCTCTTCCTCTGCTCTGGCTGAGTGCAACCAGGTCAGTATCAAGCCTGATCCACATGGTTCAGTCAACTGAAGCACCTGGACTTCGGGTAGTAGTGTCAGCTACATAAAACCACTGCTGTCTCTGACACCAATTCTTATTTATCCCCAGAGTGACAAGGCATAATGAAAGTGTTATGTTTTGAATTTCAGGCTGTGCCATAGATGCTGAAGAGTTTCATGGGCTCCAACAACCCTTCGATCCCTCACACAAGGGATGTAGTTAATGAGGATTGGTTGGAGTATGGGATATCATTGCTGAAGCTGATCTCAGCCTTTGCTGTGTCCATACAAGCAAACTTTCCAAACAGGATCACCATCTCTTTAATTTCCCATTTTCTCTCAGACAATTTGGGATATCTGGTAGCACTCCTATTCTCAACGTGTACTGTTAGTCTTATTGCTACTGGCGCGCCCACTGTCATGCCTATTGTCTTTCTCACTGTTATCCCTACTGCTGCTCTCAGCTTTTCCAGCAACTTTGTTTTTGCTACTTTCAATATTACCACTGTCATTTCTATTACCACTCCTATTGCTACTCATATCACCACTCTCAATATTGCCACAGTCACGCCTACAGACACTCTAGCTGAGTTTAGTAGATTCAGCACTGGCTACTGGTTTTAAAAAAAACCTTTCTGGGCTAGAAGTCTCAGTTACAGCCCCACAGAATGTGGGAAGACAGACTTCAAAGTGCTGATTACTGACCTCATCCTTTGTGCATGCTTCGTAAATTGAAAAGACACAGTAGGCATCTCAAATCCTAGCAACCAAACAGTCAATACTCCCGCAGTGTTGCACTGATCATGGTTCCTTCTATTGTGATTGTCCAGTCTGCATTAAAATTTGGGAGATTTCAGACATCCAGTGGTATCACTAATTTCAGCCTGTGCTGTAAGTGAGGAGCAGTTAATAATGAAGCAAGATTGGGATCAGTAGATTTTTATTCAAACAAAGACAGGTAAATGCTTCAGAGATAGTAGGAACTGCAGATACTGCAGAATCTGAGATAGCAAGGTGTAGAGCATCCTCCCTGGCCTGACCTATCTCCTCCCTAACTCCCCACCTACACTCACCTTTACTGGCTCCATCCCCGCCTCTTTGACCTGTCTGTCTCCTCTCCACCTATCTTCTCCTCTATCCATCTTCTATCCGCCTCCCCCTCTCTCCCTATTTATTTCAGAACCCCCTTCCCCTCCCCCATTTCTGAAGAAGGGTCTAGGCCCGAAACGTCAGCCTTCCTGCTCCTCTGATGCTGCTTGGCCTACTGTGTTCATCCAGCTCTACACCTTGCTATCACAGGTAAATGCTGCTGAGGTACAAATCACTGTCGGGGCTGAGTGGTCTATTCCTCTTCCTATTGGCCATCTGCTCCTAAGCGAGAGCCTGGGATACATCTGGAAGGAAACAGGTTACAGTCAAGAAAAGTTATATCTCAGAGAGTGAAAAAAGGGCAGTGTAAAACAAGTGATATTTGGAAATGAGTGTGCTTGGCATTTTGGAGCTCCACTTTGAGATATACGAGATAAATTGGCCTAGTATGTGTCATTTGCAAATTTTACTGCTTTTCCTTCTGACTTTGATGTTTTTAAGATGAACGTTGGGGGCTCTCATGTAATTGCAGTCCCTCTATCTCATAAAGGATATAATTGCATTTGAAAGGGTTCATAGGAGAGAGGAAAGGATGATGTTCTTAGCAATGTAGAATATGCAGAGAGGCTTAGCTGCTGATTTAATTATCCTGGGGAAAAGCCTGAATACAGATGTGTTTCAAATATTGCCATCAATGAAAGGCACAGATCGAGTTGAAGAATCCTAGTTATTTAACATGAGCAATGAGAAGAGGATTAGAGGAACAACATACACAAGCCTTGAGCAAGGTTAGAAAAAAATCACCGCTAGGAATGAGACAGTAAGAAGAAACCTTCACATTTCCACAGGACACATTAACATAGAAGGCAGCATTTTTGGGGCCTGTTAATATCATTAGTAAAGACCAGAATTAAGATGCCTACTGTGTCTTTTCAATTTTTTTCCGAAGAAGGGTCTAGGTCCGAAACGTCAGCCTTCCTGGTCCTCTGATGCTGCTTGGCCTGCTGTGTTCATCCAGCTCTACACCTTGTTATCTCAGATTCTCCAGCATCTGTAGTTCCTACTATCTCTGAAACAATTTTAACCCCATTAGCAGCTATTGATTCTCCCAGGCTTACCTTTACCCATTCCTTTATCTGCCCAACTGTTTTTCCCTCTCTTCATCTCCACTATATTGTTCACTCCTCCCACCTCCTCCCATTCCATTTTCAGCATATCTACCAACCTTTTCCCAGCTACAATCAGTTCTGAAGAAGAGTCTCTGGACCCAAAATATTAACTCTGCTATCTCTCCACAGATGCTGCCAGATCTGCTGAGTTTCTCCAGAAATGTTCATGTTGTTTTGAAGTTACCGAAGCTATTTCAATATGGGAGGTCATTAAGAATTAGTGGAACTCAGAGATTACTATCCCATGAGTCAGAGTTGGATCATAACCCAACTCTAGGAATGAGAGATTAGTGACTAACCTGCTATGCCATCTCACTGCATTTATTTCGAACGTTTAAAATAAAGTTTAATAAGTACAATATTGGCTCCAGCCAGTGCTCACTACCTCTTTCAGACACTCTCACCTCTTACACATGATGGAGAGTCACTTTCTGGGATGTAAGGTCATATAATGATCCCTTTGATGAAGTTTCCTTTAGTGTGTATTACAGATCACTCAGTCCCCATGTTGCCATGACAACATGCTCTTTTCCATGCATGTTGCAGTCTGGAGCTATGGATTGAGATGGTCAAGGCTCCAGTCATCTTTCCATCTCATGGTTGACCAGGAATCTCTCACATCCATTGTTGCCATCTGTTGTAGGGTCTACAAGATGATGATCAGACTGTCTGGCCCAACCTTTCTTTGACCTAGGCTGAGATCGAACCTCGGAGGCAGTGTGTTACGAGACCTCTGAATTAAACATCCCGTGTAATAAACACTGAGTCACACAGAACAGATGGTACCAGGTCTTAGCTGATCCCTATTCGGAGCAACAGTTGGAACATAACAGCTGGCGCCAGCATCTCTCAGGGGTAAATGAACTATCCCTGAAGGTGACCTACCTGCCCAGTGCTCTCCTACCCCTCTCTTCTGGCTGGTCTGTCAACATTAGCTGAGAGCACATTAATTTGAGGCTGCTTTTACAGTCAAACAGCCCATTTCTAATCACAAGCCCCAAAATTTAAGGTAAGAGGGGCAAGATTTTAATTTTAATTTTAATGTGCATATGGAACAAGCTGCCAGAAGAAGTGGTGGAACAAAAACAAAAATTGCTAGAAAAGCCCAGCAGGTCTGGCAGCATCTGTGAAGTTAAATACAGAGTTGACGTTTCAGGTCCGGTGACCCTTCGTCAGAAGAAATGGGGGAGGCTGGTACAATTACAACATTTAAAAGGCATCTGGCTGGGGACATGGAATCCCTACAGTGTGGAAATAGGCCATTTGGCCCATTGAGTCCACACTAACCCTTCCAAAGAACATCACATCCAGATCCATCCTATCCCTGTAACCTGGCATTTCCCATGGCGAATCCACCTAGCCTGCATATCCCTGGGCACCATGGGCAATTCAACATGGACAATCCACCTAACCCACACATCTTTGGACTATGGGAGGAAACCAGAGCACCCAGAGGAAACCCACACAGACACGGGGCGGGGACAATGTGCAAACACCACACAGATAGTTACCCGAGGCTGGAATCAAACCCGGGTCCCTGGTGCTGTGAGGCAGCAATGCTAAACACTGAGCCACCATGCGGCCCCTCAAATGCCTGAAAAGGAAGAGTTTTGAGGGATATGGGCCAAATGCTGGCAAATGGGACTAGGTCAAATTGGGATGTATGGTCAGCACAGATAAGTTGGGTTGAAGGGTCTGTTTCAGTGCTCTATGACTCTAATAAGGAAGGGGAGAACCATTGTGACCAAGAAACTCAGAGGTTCAGAAGAGGGGGGAGTCTCCAGACAACTAGATCTGTCATCTGAATGCAATCCGAAATTGCAACAGCAGATTCATGTACAGTGAATGCAGTGTGACTGTGTGTCAGGGAGAGGGGAGGCGGGGTTTAGGGAAGGGGCTAGTTTCTTTGTTGACAAACCAAGTTCAGTCCATTTCACACAAGTCCAAGAGGGAGTTACTGAAATGCAAAGGGAGCCAATCGCCTTTGACCGGCTCCATCTGCCTGCAGCACGTCAAAAGGCTTTGTTGGTGAGAAATTTATGACTTGTCTCTGGTCCTTTCAAACTGCCTCCTGTTTCTCACAATACCACACACACATACATACACAAAATCAACCTTTATTAATCTCTGGGACATTCTGAGCCGTTTAATCCACTGTTGAGGTGACCCTGCAGGAACTGGAGAGCAAGCCCTTGGTTTTGGAGTTTGGAATATAAACTGGGGGGTGGGCGCCGAGATCAAGAGGAACTGGAGATGGCAAATTCCGGGTTTCAGCTACTTGGCTACTTTTTGGCTCTGGGTGGATGGGTCGGCATCATATCCACCACCGCGCTCCCCCAGTGGAAACAGTCCTCCTACGCCGGAGATGCGATCATTACCGCGGTGGGGCTATACGAGGGTCTCTGGATGTCCTGCGCTTCCCAAAGTACCGGGCAAGTTCAGTGCAAAGTGTATGATTCCCTGTTGCTGTTGGACGGTGAGTAATCAGACCGAAAAGGATAAGCGAGTCTCTGTGGGAGAGAGAGAGAGAGTGTGTGTCTGTGTGAGAGAGGGATTGGCAGTGTGTCTAAGAGGGACCTTGTCTCTATCACTGTGTATGTGAGTGTGTATTTGTCTGTGTGCCTGCGTAGCTGTGTGTGTTTGGCTGTGTGTCTGTAAAACTGTGTCTAACTGTGTGTGTATCTGCCAGCGCGTATGTGAGAGGCTTTGTAGGGGGGGCTGCCTGTATGTGAGTTTGTCCGTATGTATGCATCTGTGTGTGTATCCTAGTGAATGTAAGACAGTGTGTGTGTGTATATACGTTAATGTTTGTACATTTGTGTGTGTAACAGCGTGTGTGTCTGTGTGTGAATGTGAGAGTGAATGTGTGTATCTGTGTGAATATGAGTGTGTGTATGTGTGTGAATGAGAGTGTGTGTGTATCTATGTGAGTGTGAGAGTGAATGTGTGTATCTGTGTGTGTGTGAATATGAGTGTGTGTGTATCTATGTGAATGTGAGAGTGAATGTGTGTATATCTGTGTGTGTGTGTGAGTGAATATCTGTGTATCTGTGTGTGTCTGTGTGTGAATGAGAGAGTGAATGTGTGTATCTGTGTGTGTAACAGCGTGTGTGTCTGTGTGTGAATGTGGGAGTGAATGTGTGTGTATTTGTGTATCTGTAAGTGAATATGTGTGTATATGTGTGTGTCTGTGTGTGAATGAGAGAGTGAATGTGTGTATCTTTGTGTGTGAATGTGAGTGAAAGTGTGTGTATTTGTGTGTGTGTCTGTGTGAGCGTAACAGTGCATGTGAATGTAATAGTATGAGCCAGTGCATGTGTACCTGTATGTGAGGAGTATGGTCAATAGTGTGTGTGTGAATGTAAGAGTAGCTGTGTATCTTGTGTGTGAAAAGTGTGTATATGAATGTAACATTTTGTGTGTGTGTATGTGATGTAAGAGGGTGAGTGTGAGCCAGTTTCTGAGTGAATGTGTATCTGTGCGAATGAGTGTTTGTGTTCATTGTAGCATTGTTGATGGTTGGTTTGTGTTCTGTGCCATTTGGATGTCCAGGTTGATCAGTAAAAGTGATGAGTGGATTTTAAAACTGAACGTGGAAATTGACACCGGTTTGAAATGAACAGCAGCTTCTGTGAAACTGAACCATTTACTAAAATACCATTTTCAACTACAAAACCACACAATACCATCTCAAATACAGCTAGCTGCAATTTCCAAGCAAATTTTCACATTCTCTGCTTTAATAAAATGACCAGATAATCGGCGTGTACTAGGGGCAGTGCAACATTTGTTATTTACTCAGGGATTACTGACTATAACCAGAGTAGAATGTGTCAAACCTCTCAACCCCTTCACAGGGTTTGCCAGTTCTACAGTACTGCCCGGGAGTTTCCACAGATTAGAGTTTAATTTCTTGCGGCGAGTGAGAAGGAGATAGATCACAGGAGGATGAACAAATGCAGCGTTTTTTCCCTGACTTTTTCGAATACTTTGAAGACAAAAAGACTGAAAGTCAAGAGCTTTCCAACCTGTTCAGTGGTGCGACCCACAAACAATAAATTGGAGATGGAGCAGTTCAGTTGAACGGCAAAGGTCACATGCCTCCAGGAATATGTGCAGCTTCAGTTGGCAACTTGGCACGGTGGCAGCAGACTGATCTTCCAAGCTGTGGTCTTCACAATCCAAGTAAAACTGCAAATTGTACCCCGTTCCACCGCCACCTCCCCCCCCCCCCCCCCCGCCATCCACGTCCCCTGGAGAGACAGTCTGGAAAGACAAAAAGGATGTCTTTGTTAGTGGGTGGGCGAGGGTTTAAGGGTTACCAAAATCAAACACTGTGGATGTTAAACATCTGGAATAAACAGAGAAGATATTGGAAAAAGCTCAGCAGGCCTGGCAGCAACTGTGGAGAGGGAAACAGAACTAATGTTCCAGGTCAATCATCTTTTGAAAGGCCACTGGCCTGAAATATTAACTGTCTTCACGGAAGCTCTCTGACCTGACCTGACCCGACCTGACCTGACCTGCTGAGTAGTTTCAACAGATCCTGTCACCACATGTACAGTTACCTGCCCTGAACATTCACGCTCATAGACTTTGCTGTTTGAAAATCAAAACTGATACGTACTTAGGGTGGATTTGCAAATTGAGTCACAGAAAATGGAAACATTAACCACCAAAATGTTGAACTCAGTCTTTTAATGTGGATAACGGAATATTCCATGCAGTACATTTTAAAACCTTATTTCACTGGTTCCATTCTTAGTGTTAAAGGAGAAATCTGACAACATCCCTGACTGTAAAATTAAAAATAAAAAGTGGAAAAGCTACACTCTTGTGCATTGAATGTATACATGTAGGACTTTATGACTTTGTTTCCCCCCACCACCTAGTTTCCTGATTTTAATTGTCAATATTACATTGTGTGAAATGAATTGAAATGAAAGCCTGATCTGTCTGGATAAGGACTGACTGCTGCATTGTTATTCATTTCCTCCCTGTGCCTTTTCCCATCCTCAGCCCACATCCAGGCTTCCCGGGCGCTGATGATTGTTTCAGTTGTTCTTGGCTTTATTGGCATCATCGTTAGTGTCGTGGGAATGAAGTGTACAAAAGTAGGAGACAATAACCCACTCACCAAAAGCAGGGTCGCAGTCTCAGGAGGGGTGCTTTTTCTCATGGCTGGTGAGTTTAGACTTTACTTTCTCTGTTGAATTATTGGAAGGGAATTGTTCCAGATGCCATTGTATCCGAAGTATTGACCATATTGCCATTTTCAGTTAAGTCTTTTGATCCCTCCTTTTATGTTTCTAGCCCTTGTAACAAATTGCTGGACTCAGGAGCATGAGCTGTAGAATTGTGACTTGCTAAAGTTGGATTAAGTTGATTGCAGCAATTAATTGTTTGTTTTCAGTTGATAGCATAGGGCTCAGTGCACCTGTCTGGTTACCTTTCTTCTCACTCTTCCCCGCTTTCTCGCTGTGATTAAAATAAAGGCTTGTTGCACAATCTTTCATGTCCCCAGTGATCTGGAAACCTTTTAAAAGCAGTGCTGTCAAAAAGCAACTTTCTCTCTTTCAATAGTTTTTTTGAACCTTTCTGAACTTCATGATGTTCTGCACCATGGGATTTTGTCATTTACCATTTTGATCATTTCTTCACTGCTATCGACATTATTGATGCTAATTCTTAGTATTTAAACCATTCCTTGGGGTCACAGTGACTCGGTCGATAGCACTGGTGCCTCTGAGTTGTGAGTTGAAGTCTGAATCCAGGCCTTCAGCGTGATAATGAAGACTGACACTTCAAAGCAATAGGCAAAGATTACTGCATTATCAGGTGTGCTTTTTATAGAGTCATAAACCTGTACAGCGTGGAAACAAACCCTTCGGTCAACTCGTCCACAGCAAGCAGATATCCTAAATTAATCCGGTCCCATTTGCCAGCATTTACCCCATATCCCTCTTAAGCCCTCCAATTCAAAAACCCATCCAGATGCCTTTTAAGATAATTGTACCAGCCTCCGCCACTTCCTCTGGCAGCTCCGTCCATACACGCACCACCCTCTGCATGAAAAAGTTGCCCGTTAGGTCCCTTTTGTATCTTTCCGCTCTCACCTTAAACTCATGCCCTTTAATTTTGGACTCCCCTACCCTGGGGAAAAGACTTTGGCTATTCACCCTATCCATGCCCCTCATGATTTTATAAATCTCTATATGGTTACCCCTTGACCTCCAACGCTCCAGGCAAAATAGCCCCAGCCTATTCGGCCTCTCCCTATAGCTCAAAACCCTCCAACCCTGGCAACATCCTTATAAATCTTTTCTGAACTCTTTGAAATTTAACAACATCTTTCCTACAGCACAGAGACCACAAGTGAACATAGCATTCCAAAAGTGGCCCAACCAATGTCCTGTACAGCCACAACATGACATCCCAACTCCTAAACTCAGTGCATTGACCAATAAAGACAAGTATATCTATTCTTCACTATCCTGTCTACCTGTGACTCCACTTTCGTTTATGAACCTGCACCCCAAACTAGGCCCGAAACGTCAGCCTCTCTGCTCCTATGATGCTGCTTGGCCTGCTGTGTTCATCCAGCCCTGCACCTTGTTGTCTCGGTTGCCCCAAACTCTCTTTGTTCTGCAACAATCACCAGGACCTTACCATTAAGGGTATAAGACTCGACTGGATTTGCCTTTCCAAAATGCAGCACCTCACATTTATCCCAATAGCACTCTTACCTCTGTGTTGTGAGTTCAAGTCCTAACCTGGGCCTTCAGCATGGCAATTGAGGTGGACACTTTAATGCAATGCGCAAAGTGTGTTGTGTTGTCAGGATGTGCTTTTGAATGAGAGGCTATAACAAAGCCCTCCTGCCCTCTCAGCTGGATGGAAAAAGTTCCATAGTGCTATTTTTCAAAGAAGAACAGGGGAGTTTTCCCAGACCAATGTTTATACCTCAATCACAATGACAGAAAAGATCACCCAGTCATTATCACCTTACTGATTGTGGGAGCTTGCGACGCACATTCTGGCTACCACATTTCCAGCATTAAAATAGTGACTGCACTGCAGCAAACACTTCATTAGCTACAAAGCACCTGAGATGTTTTGTGGGCAGTGAAGGTGCCGTATAAATGTACCTTTCAATAAGATTTGCTGCTGCTTGCGATTGTGTGAACAGTGAGCTAATAATCATAGAATTAATAATTCATTCACATATGTACTGACATATCTTTCACCAAGTTGTTCCTAAGCAGCTTCAATATTGTCCCCACTGCTTCTGAAGGCATGACTTCTTAAAGGCATCTCATTCCAATTGTGAGACTGGGTTAGGGGCAGTTAACTGACCTCCAGGTGACTATTCTCTATGAAGAAGCCTCACACCAATCAACATTAGCAGAGCGTTCATCCACAAGGAGCTAGGGCTGAGTTTGATCCTACTTGAGGTGCACCCAGGTCACTCTATAAGGCTTGGCAAGTTGGACCCTCCGTCTTTTAAACCAATGGACATGGATGTCAACTGTAGTGACTCTAACAGTTGAGCTGGGATTGGTAAACTCAGCACAGACTGAATGTGAGATCTTTGTAAGCTGTGTGGTTCATCTGAACAACTAAGATCTGTATCGCTGACTGCAAGGTAAGAGAAATGATATGTATGAAGTCAGCTGTCCAGTGCTGAGATATAGACACCTTTTCCTCCTGTGCAGGCTGTCATGTGCTAATTGCTCAAGTGTTTGCCATTGCCTTGAGACCTGACTGAAAACTGACCCCTGACTCACGCCTCTTGTCTGTTCCACAGGACTCTGCACCCTAGTGGCGGTATCCTGGTATGCAACAAAAGTTTCAAATGAGTTCTTTGACCCTTTAACACCAGTCAATGCCAGGTACGAAACATGAAGACAGGGCTTAAGTACATCAGACCAGCACTGTTATTTTTGTACCAAAACAAAAGCAGAAATGACTGGAAAAACTCTGCAGGTCTGGCAGCATCAAGTTCTGAAGAAGGGCCATTGGACCCAAAATGATTTCTCTCCACAGACGCTGCCAGACCTGCTGAGTTTTTCCAGCAATTTCTTTTTTCTTTTGTTTCTGATTTCCAGCACTCACAGTTCTTTTGGTTTTCTGCTATTTTTGTTTTCACTTCTGCCGCTGGAGTTCATTTCACCCGAGCGACAGAAATGTGAGGGGGTACTAAACAGGAAAGCAATGTGATGTTAAGATGTGTGAGCGCACATCTCAAGCACAGAGTGTTTTCTCTCCTTCTATAGGAGAATAAAATAGCCACCCTTTGGGTGAAATCCCAGATAGCGAGTGTCAGCAAGCTATTTCAAACGGCAGGTGTCACAATGTGGCTCAAATGTGGTCTCTATGCAAGCAAAATCACTTTCTAGTAAGGTTCATGTTCCTAACTTTGATTGAAATTATTCCTGGAGATATTGCCTCATGATTTTGTTCATCTTGCCACGGCAGAAGGTGGAACTTGAATTCAATAAAAGTCCGGAACTAAGAGTCTGATGATGACCGTGAGTCCGTTGTCGATCGTTGGAAAAACCCATCTGGTTCACTAATGTCCTTTAGGGAAGGAAACTGCCATCCTTACCTGGTCTGGCCTCCATGTGACTCCAGACCCACAGCAATGTGGTTGACTCTTAACTGCCCTCTGAGATGGGCAATAAATGCTGGCCCAGATAGCGACATCCTCATCCCATGAATAAACATTAAAAAGAAACAGACTACTTCCCATTGTCAATACATTTATAAATGTTAAACAAAACTCTTCAAAGAAAATGAAACAACATCAGTTGAAAGTAGACACATTTTGTCAAACCTTCTCACCTTGCCTTCATCAAGCCATTTTGTAAAAATACCAGTTTAGGGGAAAAACCAACATTTATACTGTATGAGAGGAGAGTGCTGTTAGTTGAAACTAGGACTTTTATTGGTCTCCTTGCCAATCAAGCAGCACTCTCCTTTCAAACTGTATAAATGCTGGTTTTCCACTCAAATTGCTATTCTTGCAAATTGTCCTAATGAGGGCAGGGAGTAAATCTTTGACAAATTACATCTTTTTTCAACAGCACTGAAGTGCTGTCCTACCAAACAACTAAATGGAATAAATACTTGTCCTCAATGATGTTTCTGCCTGGTTACTTAAAGGAAATATTTCTCTCTTTCCTGGAAATTCCAAGATAGCTATGTCAAGCTGGTAGACTGTGTAACTATGACAAGTTGGTTAATCTCAGCTGAGCCACGCCTTACGAGCGACCTCAGCACCTTCGGCTGAGGGACAATGTTACTCCTTCTCCCAATGGTTTTGAGCTGAGATGAGTCCCAAGGACAATACCTTACAATGGGATCACCAACAGTTTTCTTAATGAGGACTAATCCTGGGTAACCAACGATACCACAAGCTACTCAAAACATGTATGGAAAACATATGAATCAATAAGGGTGCATATTTAGTTATTATAGTTGAAATACAAAAGTATATGTTTTAAGATTAAAAAAAATTTATCATTACTTTTATTTCAATGTGAAACTGGCAAACAAGTTTATTTTTCAGGTCAATTCATTTCCTTTGCTCAGTTTATCATCCTCACCATTTCCCAGCCACTTGCTCAAGGTATATGGGGCTGCTGTCATTTCCTGGCTGTTGCTGGACTTCCTGCCCACTGGGTTGTGCTTCATGTTGGCTCGTTGGCCACTTTCCCAGTGCCCGGAGCTGCACAGCCAACTCCGGACTCTAATTCCCTTGGCAGGCTTTCTCTGGCCAGCTGACCACCCTCTATCATCAGCCCCACTCTAGGTGGAGATGGATGTTAAATCAAAGAATGAACGATGAGGTACACATTGGCCGATGGTGAGCTGCCAGTCGCTGGCAATAAACATGTTGGTGACCCCTTCCTTACAATATGGAAAACTAATCTCAATGTCTCATGTGTGGAGTGTAGCCCTTTGATAGAGTGTATCAGAGAGGGAACCATAACTCAATGTGAATATCAACATAAGGGCTGGGAAAGAAGGGTGAAAAAAATACTGTAAATCTTGAAAACGATTGTTTCAACATAAATATTATAGGAGGACCTAGCCATCTAATTATTAACATGAGGGTTAGCAAATTTTTTTTAAAGAAAAGCAAATGATGACCAAGTTCTCAATGTCCAATTGCCTTACTTTATTGCAAGGTTGATAAGTTTGGAGCTGCAGCCTTTCATCTCTTGCTCGTTGGCTCTTGCAGGTATGAGTTTGGCTCGGCATTGTTTGTAGGATGGGCAGCTGCGAGCCTGACCATTCTGGGAGGATCGTTCCTCTGCTGTTCCTGTCCAAACGAAGAAAGAAGGGGCCAATCATACTACAGGCCCTCTCAGCCGTCTACAGTCAAAGAGTACGTCTGAAACACAGCGCAGGGAAATTAATCCTCAAGCAGAAGTCAGCTTAAAACGGAAGGTTATCAAAACCCCCAGGAGGGTCCTGCGATCTGCAGAAATTAAAGATTGCTGTCTGGGATATTGCCACCAGCTAATCAGGAGAAATGTCATAGGGTCATTAAAATAATTGTGTATTTTTTAAAAACCTTTTTTTTGAACACCTCTGTTAGAATTAGAATATTGTCAGAAAGATTTGAGCTGTTGAAGTTTTAAGTCATCAGGACAGGTGCAAGAATTCCAAATTTCAAAGGGAGCAACATTTTATACTACATGGGAAAAGAGTGCTGATTGGTCAGGACATCAACTCAAATTGGTCAAGGCATCAGCGTAGATGCTGCAGCAGTAACCTTTAACGTGTTCATTTCAGTGCCTGGATATGTTCCTCTTTTATGTTTCAGAGATAGTAGGAACTGCAGATGCTGGAGAATCTGAGATAACAAGGTGTAGAGCTGGATGAACACAGCAGGCCAAGCAGCATCAGAGGAGCAGGAAAGCTGACGTTTCGGGCCTAGACC